GGCAGGGATCCGAGGCAGGACGCACCGAGCGTCCGCGCCCTAGGTGTAGACACTGCCCACCCGCCTCGGCCCCACCCGGTTCCACCCTGCTCCTCCGCCTCTAAACTATTTCCCTGCTGTAGCTCCACCCCTTCTCCCTCAGCCCACCCCCCCTATATTACAGGCATTCGCTCCGCGCTCCTGTTGGATGTGGGTTTTCCCGGAGAGACCACGCTTTCCCTGATACTCCCAACAGCTCCGCCTTCCCGCCGCAGCTTGACCCTTCCCAGCGTGCCCGGCGATTCCGGCGTGCGAGGCCCTTGGAGGGCAAGGCCCCAGGGCCTGGCTTAGGGGCGCGAGGGGCAGGCTGGGAGTTGTAGTCCACGCGTCCACGAGGGCGGCTGGCGACTGGCGGTGGAAAAGACTCGTGCTCCCAGCGTCCCCTGCGCGCAGCCCGCGCGCTCGCTGCTTCTCGCCCTCGCCCGCCCGCCAGCTCCCTTGCTTGCTCGCGCTTTCGCTCGCGCTCTCCTCGCGGATCGAGGGGGGTTCTAGCCACAGCCTACGTCTAGGAAGGGAGACAGAGGCGGCGGCTCAGGGGAAACGAGGCTGCGGTGTTGGTGGCGGTAGGAAGATGTCGGGCGAAGACGAACAGCAGGAGCAAACTATCGCCGAGGACCTGGTCGTGACCAAGTATAAGATGGGAGGCGACATCGCCAACCGTGAGTGTGGCCTCAGGGGTCCGGGAACCGAGGCTGAGAGGGAGAGGTGCCAGGTTGGCCCCGGAGGGGCGGGAGCAGCAGGGTCCTGCGGAGCCCGCACCGGTCTTCTGGGGGCGGCATGTGGAAGACCCGGTGTCGCGCCTGGGACCTGAGCGGCCAGGCCTGGGCTATAGGCTGTGGAAGTGTGGGCCAGCGACGCGAAGGGCGCCGAGAGGAGCCCCTGGCAGGCTCCGACCCTAGGCCGTTGGTCAGGAGGCAAAGTGCGCCTTTTCCTGCACTCCACCCTTCAGTCCAGATCTCGGTTTCTGGCAGTGGCGATGCCACCTCGAAAAGGAAGCGCCTCTGATTTGTCGCGACTCTGGGAGCCGGCACGTGTGGCCGGTTCCCGGTGCGGGTAGCTGGCTCCCGTCTTCCTGTGGTACGGTCCCTGACACCAGCTTCCCCACCACGTGCTTGCCGGAGTCTTTCCTCCTTTACTTCAACTCTTACCCTGGTGGGGGCCCTCTTCCACCCTAGGGCCACTCGGGACCGTTGGGGCTTCCAACACACTCTTGGACTTCTCTCTGGCGGGTCTTCAAGTTTTCGTTACTGCCACTCCGCTCATCTGTGCGGATAGCCTCAGCCTTCACAGTTGTTTTTGGGAACTTGACAACTTTGGGAGTGTTTGGAGGTGCCCCCTCACTCCGACTAGACAAACCTGTGAATCTATCTGGAAAGGGGGGACTGATTTTCAAATTGTCACAGGTCATCCTTATTCGAGTTGTATTCTGACTTTCTCGGTGGCTGCCTGATTTGCAGGCAGATGGCTCATTATTTTTGCTAATTCACCATCCCACTTTAAAAAAAAAAACAACTCAGGGAGGTAAAAAGTTCTTGTCTTTTGGCTTTGAAATGGTGTTAACCATAAGAACAGTTGGGTGGAGGTATTTAGGATTCCTTTGGTCCTGTGGCTGAATGAGTTTTTCCAGCTTCCAAAGAATTGCCCAAACTGAAATCTCAAGAATCAAACCTGGAGTTCAAGATAGACCTGGAGAGGGAAAGAACAGAACAGTGTTTTATAACACATTGAACATGGAGTATAGTTTTCTCGTTTGGGGCACTTTTTGGTGTTTGATAATGGTGGTTTGAATTCTATTTCTTGTCATTTATAACTTGAGGCACTCGTTCGCAGATTCCAATTTTGAAACTTGAGGGGTCTTTGAGATCTACTGAAAGCTTTAAGTCATGAGTCTGCTTTAAACCCAGGCACTTCAGATTAAATCCCTTGGATTATACACTCATTTATGAGGAAATAAATCTGCATAAATTGAGTTTACAAACACCTAATTAGGGTGTTTTGAGAATTAGGGGAAGAAGGTAGCATTTAACAGCGCATCAGGTTTGAGTCAGCAGTTCTATCTCTCCCTTCCCATAGTCCCAAACGCCTATAAATTTCTTCTCGTTTTCTTTGCTTGTATGTGGGATACCTTGGTGAGAGCCCTCTGATTATAATTCTGTCCTTCTGCACCAAAGGTATCATCTTTAGAAAGTCCAATGCCTTGCCTAGAGAGACACTGTATATACCCAGTTGTCACATAATGTAGGGAAGAGAAGGGAGTGCTGACCTTTTCTACTTTGGGAAAGGAAGATAGAAGTTAGAGATTATAGAGATCATACATCCAAGAGACAACATTTGTTTCCTTTTTCAGCCTCAGGAAAATGGCACTAAGAATATTAGAAACCCTTGAGTCCAACTTTCAGGTATTGGGTGGTAACTACACAGTAAATAAATCCAGAGCTAACATGTTCTGATTCTGTCCCCAGGGGTACTTCGGTCTTTGGTGGAAGCATCCAGCTCAGGTGTGTCAGTACTGAGCCTGTGTGAGAAAGGAGATGCCATGATTATGGAAGAAACGGGGAAAATTTTCAAGAAAGAAAAGGAAATGAAAAAAGGTAAAAAAAAAAAAAAAAAAAGAAAGAAAAAAGAAAAAAATTTCTTTTCCTTCTCATGTTTTCTTTTTTTTTTTTCTTTTTTTTTTAAAAGAATTATTTAATTTATTCCTTCATTTATTTTTTATTTAACAGAGAGAGACAGCACGGGTGGGGTGTTAGAGAATGAGAAAGCAAACCACCAGGGCTGGGACTCAAACCATGGTCGACTACATAGGAGTCTAGCGACATAGCCATTACGCTAACTGCTGGTCCCCTACTTCTCATGTTTTAACCTTATTTTTCTTTTTTCTTTTTTTT